ATAGAGAGGAGAAGTCTTTCGTCACGTTGCCGCGGTAGCAACTGACTTCTGGATTTCAACAATTAAACCGTGGGCCTGCAAATGTGGCAGAAAAAACGAAAAAATTGACTTGTACATGTTGTATGGTCTCTTAAGGTCAGGATCGTTTCAGAGTTGACAAAAGCACCAACCTTTCTACAGCTAATAGCTTATTGCAGTTCTATGAATATTAGAAGGGGTGCCCAGTGCAGATGTTTCAATGAAGCGTGCTAAACACGAATTGATTTTTGCAAATTTGACCTGCTGGGGTCCCTGTCGTGCTTCGATTGAAAATTACTTTTTAATACCTTAAACCACTCAGAATGCTCTTCTCATGTTGTAAATAACAATTTCACTCGAAAATCTACCATTCCCATCCATTATTAGCTTATTGATTGTAAAATTAAGTTGATTATTACCGTGTCCTTATAGCTTATCTACAGTCCGCCCACACTTCCATAAATCATTTTTAAGATGACCTCATCTGTGTTTCAGAACCCGCAAGTACTCAGCCTCTGGGTTTCTTTTCTCTTTTTCTAAAGTATTTTAATTAGAGGAGGCCTTTTTTGTGGTTTAAGCCTTAAATTACTATACCTTGTGGCACGGAATTTATGCAGGAGTATATTTTTGTGGATTGGCGATTTTTGTTTTGTTTTGCAGGACCTAATTTTTGCGATTAGGACAGATTGGTTTTTCTCGCTGGGAATTAATTTTTTGCGATTTTCAGAAAGTGCCCAGGGGCCCGTTTCTCGAAAGTTACGATTATTAACGGGCCCGGTAACCTGTCTCCGTTTACATTAAAGATCGAGGTTTCAATAGTTTTGCATCTAATGTGATAAAACTATCAGTTAATGAAACAAAATGGAGTAGTTTACTAGCCACAAGCCGCGCTCTTATTCTTTATATTTCGATTTGAATATTTGATTTCGGGCCCGAAAAGTTACCGGGACGTTCGAGAAACGGGTCCCAGTACCCAAAATTGATAATATTTTTGTTTTCGTCAAACATGCGCAACAGAAATACACATTTTCAAACAGTACTGCGGTATACTAGGTTGTATACCGTTTTGTTTCTGATTGAAAGAGGCAGGTTGTAATTGAAGAGACATGATTTCGTAGTACTGTATTTTTGTGTAGCGAATTTAAGCTAGAGAATATTTACACTGGAGTAATTTTTTGAGGGAACTTATTTTTGCGGATCGCTGGATAACTCATGGCAGACTGAAATTAGACCCCTCAAAAATTTCGTGTCACACGGTATTACTTTTTATGTCACTTAAGCTAAAAAAAGTAATAAATAGAGAATACTTCATGGAAAGTGCTGGCGTACGGTATTTACGCACGAGTTGTTGACGTGTCAGAAATCGAACGAGTGAGCGGAGCGAACGAGTAAGATTTCTGATACAAAAACAACGAGTGCATAAATACTGTACAAAGCACTTTCCATGTGGTATTGTGTTTATTATATACATACTGAGACATTCATCATTTTCGCGGCCTTTTTATTTTAAATCTTTCAAAAATGCTAAATTTTGCCGCTACACACTTACCGCAAAATGACAACGAAAACGAAGTATCAGCTTTTGAGTAAAAACGTTTGTTAAAAACCTAAATGATGGTAAGGATATGAGGTAATCCAAGAACTGTAAGTAATCTTAACTGTTTGTTCTCAATGCACAATTGAAAATGAGTGAATTTAAGTAAAATGACCGGTTTCAATATAAGCTTAAGCTTAAATGAAAGACAAAGTAGCTCCGACAAAAAGCACAACAAAAGCTTACGTCTCGTTCTGTTTTTCCCTTTCCGCTGTTGTTTCGCCGGCTCTCTACCGTTTTCTTTATCGACGGTGAAACAAACGAAACTATTCCACTCCATTTCCGAAATGTTTTCACTTTTTTAGCGAGAAAAACTCTTTGAGTAAAACTTTTCTCGTTGAATGTGTGCGAAGCGGCGCTGCAAGCTGCAATAAAAGGCGGGAATTTTGACGCGAAACTCATACACCTCT